ATAATGAGTATATAAGAAATTTGTTATATGGATGAATGTGGTTACGAGAATCTTTTTAACAGTGTTAATTTATGTCAGAAATGGCAGCGGCGGAAGGTTTGATTTTGGCAAAAAATAATATCGTTGAGATGGGTGGAAGTAGTGTTCAACAAGCAACCACTGCGAATATCACACCAATGATGAAGCTTGCGATATCATGCGCTGGAAAAGGGAAAAGTGTTGGGATGGAAAGTGAGACTTCTTCCGAAGAGAGCAGCACAGAAGGTGGGTGTTGAATTTATCGTTTTCTCTCAAGGATACAAAATGATGTATAATATTAGCTAAGGCATGTTAACTAGTAAGAAAAGTTTATCAACTTTCTTTTGGGTGGGAAACCATTGTATTTTGGGGCTAATGAAATGTTTATGTGTTCACTGATGGGTTGTTGTAGAAGTCGTATGGTTGGACTAGTACGGGTGTTAAGCTGTCTTTTTTTCAACTGGTATTTATAATAAAATGGTTTGGCATGCTAATTTAATATGTAAACATATAAACATGGTAATTAACTTGAAAAAGAAAATAGTAAACGACAATTGGTAGTATATGGATATGTAGAAAACATGCCACCCTGGTTAATTTAATTTGTTTATATTGTAACGGTTATCTTTTACAGTTACTTAACAAAAAGTTTGTGAGACAAAGTTTGGAATGAAGGGGTCTCTTTGACACCAATAGTAGGAAAATTAGATAAGCTAAAAAGATTTGGCACGCTATAGGATGGAATTATTTACAGACACTAAAAAAATCATGATAATTATAGACTCGATTAGCGTCTACTGTGTAGAATATAGAATAAGTATAGTAGACACTAGAGAAGAGATGTTCATGGACTCTTAACTGTTATACAGAATTTTACTTGGTTGGTATTTTTGCGGTGATAAGAATGATATTATCATGAAATGTTTTAGCTGATGTTTTTTGGGGGGGGGGGGTTAATTGTATTCGCAGGTCTTTAACATGCTAATTTATGAACTGGCTATTTATATAAGAATGTTTGCCTGATAAAATGCCATAGCTAATTAAGATTGGTAGTATATAGATCTGAGGAAATGCATAACACTCCGCTGAGAAATAACTGATTTAGCTTGCTACGGTTACATTTTACATTTGGTGAACCGGGTGTTTGTGTTGGCAAGTTTTGAATGAAGGGTTCTATTTGAGGACGAAATTCAGAATATTTGATATGAAAAAGAAATGGTTTGGCATGCTAACGATTGTAATTATTTTAATACAATACAAAGATGATAATTATAGACTCGATTTTTGTTTACCGAATAGCATATAGTACATGATCTGGACATTTAAATTTTTTTTTTTGGAATATGATCGATATCTAACTAAAATACGAATTTTGAGCAGGTGAAACTGGAGATTATAAAGATGACGTCGAAGAGGGAATGATATTCAGGAACAGAGACGCCTTCAAGCAGCATATGGCTATTTATGCTATCAGTAAGAAATTTCATTACAAGAGTAGGAAGTCAGAGCCAGGATTAATGGTATTGGAGTGTTGTGGGAAGGATTGTCCTTGGAGAGTTTATGCGGTTAAACTCAAGGATTCAGATGTGTTCGAGATAAGGAAAGTAGTCTCTGAACATCTATGTTCAATTGATGATCGTGCCGGTTACCAGACGCAGGCTACGGCTTCTGTTATTGGTGAGCTAATGAGAGGGAAGTTTGGTGGAGCCTGCGGGGGTCCAAAGCCTCGTGAAATAAGGCAAATGATGCGAGGTGATCATGACGTTAATATTTCATACTGGAAGGCATGGAGATCTAGGGATGTGGCGATTGATAAAGCTAAAGGTTCAACTCAGATTTCGTACAACCAGCTCCCGGGATACCTTGACAGGTTGGTAGTTGCTAACCCGGGAACAATTATAGAGCTGTTGACTGAAGAAGTGGATGGTGGTGGACGACGTTTCAAATATGTCTTTGTTGCTTTCGGAGCATCTATCAGTGGATTTGAGTTTATGAGAAAGGTGGTTGTTGTTGATGGAACACACTTGAAAGGGAAATATGCTGGATGTTTGCTCACAGCATCTGCACAAGACGGAAATTATCAAATCTTTCCTTTGGCATTTGCCATTGTCGACAGCGAAAACGACGCTTCATGGGAGTGGTTCTTCCAAAAACTATCAGCTTTTGTGAAGGAGAGGGAAGATGTGGTATTCGTCTCAGACAGGCATCCATCCATACTGAAAGGAGTTAGCAAGGTAAATTGTTTATATGTTTAAATGTTAACATTGAGGTATCTTATAATGACATGATGTTAGCTTGTACGTGGGCACAAGGGTGAGAATGATAATTTTTATATTCATGTTATACTATTAATAGAGTGTCGTATTAGCATGTGAGTATTAGTGTGTGATTGAGTTTCGTTATATCCACATTTAAAACAATCTGATGTTAGCATGTAAAATGATTACAGGTGTATCCAAGGGCCGGACACTGCGTATGCATTGTGCATTTGAAGAGAAACATACGTTCAAATTTCAAGGCGAGACATTTGGAGTTTCTGGTTGCAAAGGCTGCAAGGACGTTTAAGATGCAAGATTTTTACACCACGTTTAACGAGATAAAGACAATGGATGCAGCCTGTGCAGAGTATCTACTGGACATTGGACTAGAGCACTGGGCTAGAACGCATTTTCCGGGCCAACGATACAACATCATGACAACTAATCTGGCTGAGTCTTGGAATTCTGTACTGCGCGAGGCTAGGGAGTACCCAGTGGTGGCTTTGATTGACTATATAAGAAGCAAGTTAACAGGTTGGTTTGCTGGTCGTAGGGATGCAGCTAACAAGAACAAAGGTACAATAACACCAAGAATTTCTGCGATCCTCTCAAAAAATTTCGAAATCTCTGGAGGATATGAAGTAACTATGATCGGGGAAGATGAGTATGAAGTGCGTAACAAGACCGGTGGAAGTTACCATGTTAACCTGTTTAACAAAACGTGTACCTGCTACGAGTTCCAGATGCTTGCTATACCATGCTCGCATTCCATTGCTGCTGCGATAAAGGGTAAAGTTAGCGTGGAGTCGATGATATTACCAGCATACACTATAGCCGCGTGGAGATCAGCTTATGCTGGGAGTGTCCTACCAGTGCCCGACAGTGGTGATGTATCGGAATTAGCATCTGATTTGGGTGGAATGCAGTTGTGTCCTCCGGTGACAAGAAGACCTCCAGGGAGGCCAAAGAAACAAAGGTTCTTTTCTAGAGGAGAGAAAATGGTACGTGACAAATATTTTCTTAACAAGCGAACTAGATAGAACAATTTCCTAACAAACTAAATAACTTTTTATCAAACAAAATTTTGGTTAAGTGTAAGTAATGAGTGTGTGCATGTGTTTGCAGATGAAACGCATTAGAAGGAGGACTCTGTGCAGTAGATGCAAGGGGTTTGGTCATAATAAAGCCACTTGCAAGGAACCAATATGATGTGTTTTAGTAAATTAATATGAAGCAATTTGGGGCGAAGGGAGAGTTGTAAGGAAAGGGGTAGTAATCATGTTTGGGAGCTAAAAACTATCTTATGTAAAATACAAGTGATGCTCATCCAAACATGAGGGGTTGTATGGGGTATTGAGTGTATCGCAATGTTAACATAAATAACAAGTTGCTTCTTCTATTTTGTATGACTTCAATATTTACATTTAGATGTTAACAAATGTGCAATACATTAAGTAGTATCGAAAAACCAGGAAAAAAAAATTGGTGCTAAGACTAACATTACAAGGAGAACCAGTTTGTGAAAAAATTGACTATATTGAATAAGCTAAATTATCAAGTATTAATACTCCATAAATTAATAACGGATAACGGATTAGGTAAGAATGATTTTTGGTGTTGATATGAATTGTTGATATGGATTGTCGAGATTGGTGTTATTATGAATTCCGATAAATGCGGGAAAACGTATGAGAAAACAAAACTTTAAAGGAGGGTTATCATGTTTATGGCAGAAAAAGAGAATATCTCAATCGCTTTTCAAATTAATCAATTTTGGCAATATAATCAAAAGTGTGGTAGTGCGTACATAAATGTTAACGTGATAAATAGAAATGGTTAGCGACGATTCGTGTAATTTGTATATGATGAAAAAAATAAAAAAATGGTGTAAATAATATATTTGGATTGTTAAGGAAAACTGTTACATATGGTCAACAGTACCTTAAAGGAGGGTTATCATGTTTATCGTACAAAATGATTATCTGAGTTGGTTTTTAAGTGAAACAGCTTTGGCATTCTAATTTAATGAGTAGAAGTGCATACAGAAATGTTAGCGTGTTAACAAACTAGTTCTCGATGATTGACAATATGTATAGAGGTTGAAAAAATGAAAAAACGGTGTCAATAAATTGTTTTGCTTGTTACGAAAAAATTTTACATTTGGTCAACAGAAGGTTTGGCTTAGAAAAGAATGGTGTGCATGGTTCTCTTTGAAACCGAAATTATAAAAAAGTATTTTATAACAGATGTTTTGGCATGATAATTTCATTAAGTATTCGTGAATGAAAGAATGTTAACTAGATAAAAATTAGTTAACAGTTAATGAGACAAGATATAAAGATGATAAAAAACGAAAACATGATGTATATAAATTATTTAGATTGTTACGACAAACAATTAGATTTAGTCAACAGAATGATTGAGTTTGCAAGAATGGTGTAAAGGATTTTGTTTGAGACGAAAATTATAAAAATTGTATATACTAACAGATGATTTGGCATGACAAATTTTGTGAAACGAGTAAGACAATCAAATATACAAAACACAAAAATATATAGAACTATCAGGTTCGTAAAATAAAAAGATAATTAGAACATTAATGTGACATTAGAGCTTCAGTTCACAACAAGGAAGTCTGCGAAATTATAACAAAATAAAAACAACCTGAGCGGTGGACTAGAATAGATGGCTACAAGACAACATTGCATTAGCATGACAGATATATTAGAGAATAGAACAACAACCGCCATGGTTTCTCGTCAGATCGTTCCTGATATTTAGCCGTTGTAGCTGCTTCTCAAATGCATCTAACTCATCCCTAATTGAAGAAATTTCTGTCTTCAATTCGCAAGCTACTGACTTCAGGTCCTCCACATCTTCGACAATGCGTTCGTCGGTCCATGTGAAAAGATGAAATTTGTCCTGCATAACAATAATGTGATATGAAACAGGAAATATATATATAGATACATGAAAAGGGCTAGACTAAACCTCCTCTGAACCGTTGGGACAGCAATAAAATAGCCTGCCGGGGTTTTTAGCAGTGCCAGAAGTCTTTATGATGGCCTTCTCACCACATCTACAGTGTTCAGGGATACCTCTCTCTCGATCACCTCGATGGCGCCGCCAGTGACCTGCAAGTAGCATATGAGGAGAAGGTGTCAAAAATATCTTCGTATCGGGAGCGCGGAATGAAAAAAATGTTTCGTCTACCTGGGACAGATGAGGAACTACCACCAGTTATTTGAGACATTCGTCTACCTCTAGACTATAATCCTAAGGAAAAATTAGGGTTCCCAATTTAATTTGGTAAAAGAGAAGACAATAGAAGCATCGAGAGGTTTTTAGTGATAAAGGACAAAGTTAAAAAGGAGAGGATATAGAAAATCTAAACCCAATAAGTGACCGGCCCATTGGTTTCTTCCTATTTACACATTTAATTGATGAAATATATTACGACAACATTGTTGGCAAATGACAGTATCTTTGTAGACGATTTTAGAAGGTCCTAATCTTGTAAATTACCAAAACTATAATGTAGATCAAATAAAATTGGCATGGTAATTTGGTTTAGGTAGGGATAGGAGGGAATTAGTTTACCTTTGTACAAGATTAGATATTTTACTAACATTAGAGTTTACCTCAGTAGTATTGTAATCCAAAAGTTTAAGATTTATTAGCAAATGACAGTATGTATGCGAAAAAGTGTACAAGTTATTATCTAGTTAACAAAGTGGATGTGTTGGATGGGTCGAATTATTTGAATTCTGACATTCTAGTGAGGTCAAATTTGTGTGAGAAAATCTTATTAGCAAGATCATATTTATATTACCATGTTACTTAGAATAGTGACAATACCAAAAAGTTTGATAAACTTGTTAGAGAGACGGTTAACAGAAAGTACGCATAATTAAACACTAAAAGGAAAAAGTTCAATAACAAAGCTGCAGCTTAGAAACTAAGGATAATGAAGGCATCTGAAGCACATACTGAATATAGTGAGCATCATAGTTGTAGTAACTGAAACACAGATTAGGATAGATATAACTCCAACAAATTAACTTCTACTAAAGAGGTCCAACGTTTTCCTCGTAGATCATGACAGCAGCACGTTGACCCTCTACGTCTAGCTCATCAGGAGTAACGCATTTGCATAACTCAACCCCACCAACAGCATGAGACTGGATTAGCAGGACACTGGTGATGCCTGAATCAAAGGGATTCTTGTTCAGAGGAATGGTGCGAGGTCTGTCAATAGTAAAAGGCCTCAGGTCTTTCGAGCTAAGTGATTTACCGGCTTGTCTGAGCAGGTAAGGTAACATGAGAGATATGGGACGAAGTTGTTCAGCAATCATCTTCTCAGACATTCGTGGAGGGTTGCAGTCAAGGATTGTGAGCTGAGACATGGAACACTCGACGCACACGCCAACCCAGTGTTGTTTTTTGAAGTTGAACGGGAAGTACATGCGACTAACTTCATCAATGGAATAATCACTGACCAGTAAGTCGCACAGGGCAGCTTGGAATCTGAAACGGTCTTTTTTGACGGCCTTTGAAAACTTGGGGAATGACATAGCAAACAGTGAGACAAATTTGGTGTCAAGGAATACAGAATTCTTGGACTGAATTTAGTCAGGATTTGAAAGAAAAACCGAGCGTGTATGATGAATGAGCACATCAACAACCTATTGAAATGCATAAAACGGGGAAAAACCATGGAGGGGCCTTAAGCTTGTAAGAAAATGGAAAATCGGTTAGGTGAGAGCAAAAACGTTACAAGGTGTAATGTGTATACCTTTGCAGGTAAATGAGAAGACCTATGAATCATTGCCAGCATCTCTAAGCTATCGAGTGAGAGGTTGCCAAAATCTATGACACTGAAGACAACAAAAAATGGTAGTGGTTTAGTTTAGCAATATACACTGTTCGGAAATATTTGCTAAATTTATTGATATCATGACTTAAGGAATAACTTACAAAGAGGAAGATATCTTCTCAGTTAACGTGGCGAATTTGGCGGCCAAGTCAACATTGGAGGTTTTACAGATAGTATTAACGAATGATTCCCAGACTCGAGTGAGAGTACGTTTGTCACACTCGTAATCTCCAGCTAGGGTTCGTGGAAGGGTTTTAGCGCGTTTGCTTCTCCTATTAGCAACTGGAAAATCGTCAACCTTGCCAGGGGAGGGAGCGTCCTCATTGGTGGAATCATCAACATTGGAATCTGATTTATTGAGTTGCGTGAGACCAATAGAAAAGGTTGGATCCGGAAACTGAAGACCGGTAGAAACATTATCCTTGCCAACAAAAAAGGGGATATAAATGACAGTAATATGACAAGTGTATAGAAAATCGATTCATATCGGGGAAAAAATAAGTCTAGCTGCTATATAAACGAACCTTTTTACCGGTGGATTCCCCGTTGATGTTAGCTTCAACCACGTTGGGTGGAGGCTGGTTGATTGATGTATTGCTTAAAGGCTAAACATTTATAAAACAAACATAGAAACGAATACATGTTAACTGGAATCTGATTATGATAAAACAAAACAATATGTAAGACAAAAATATTGAAGAACATGTCATACCACATCTTCAGCACAAGTGCCCGGGACACCGACATCAGGATGGGTGTGGACATCCACAACTTCATCAGTGTTAGATAAATGGTCCTAACAATTGTATTTTACAAACAGAAAAAAAAATGAAGCTAAATCGGTTGGCTGCTAAAATCTGACGACTGTTGGCTAACAAAACAAGCAAAATTATATATTTGGTGAGGCATGATAAAAAAAGGTTTAGCGTTGCAAAAGGTCGAACTATTTTGCTAAAGGTTTGACAATAATACCGTGGACTCCACTGTCTGATTTGTGTGGTTACCCCCGTCGAAGCCGTCACCACCAACATCCCGGACGTCCCCTCCGACATTGTCGTCATCGTCGTCAAAAATATCCTAATATAAAAAAAAGGAATGAATATTTAATACATTTTTCAAGGCAAAAATACCGAAATAAGAACATGTAAGTAACTAGTTACCATTCCAGTGTCACTCCTTATGTTGTCAGCAAACTGCACAGCGTCCTGAATTATGTCATTGTGGTCGAGAGGACTGTGGTCAGCAGACGGATTGCAGACGTTTTCAGTATTCACTGGTTCTGGTCCTGTAGGAGGTGGTACATGAAACACTGGATCCGAACCTGTAGGAGGTGGTACATGAGGTCGATTGCATGGAGTGGATGTGAGATTCGAAATTTCTCTACGGAAGACTTCGAAGGCATCTTGGACACTGTTACGTAGTGTTTCCTGAGAGTTGTTAACAGCGTCAGTGAGGTCCTTGATTCCTTGGTTGACCGAGAGCAGCTCTGAGGAAATAATATTCTTCACCATGATGGAGACCTGCTCGGCGTCGAAGTGTTGAGAAGCAGGTTGTTTGGGGTTGGATTTAGCATTTTTACGAGAAACATTATCCTTCTTCGATTCATCACGCATCAGGATAACATCGGCTTTTGTAGCACCACCGGTGAAATGAGAATTGGAGAAACAAAAACCTTCGTTAATAGCCTTTACAAGATTATCAACAGAGACATCTTCTTCTTCGTCTGACCATACAAATTCAATGTCTGGTCCAATTGGGTGATCGCCAGCTGGGATAATGGAATTTACTACCGCCTGAAAATTTTGAAAAGAGAAAACATTAAGCCTAACACACAAAAAATTTATCAAGTTAACATTCCTCTATGTATGTCAACTGAGTAATTTAGTATGCCAAACATCGACGAGTACATCTCCCGGTAAGATTATAAAAAATTGCAAAAAGCTACCTACCTTGCAAGCTGAATCTATGTCACGAATGCGGAAGGTATTGATGCTTTTCTTTTCATCCCCGTCTGAGACAAAATCGTCGTCATCATCAACAGAGTCTCCATCAGAACCAGATGATCCCCCATCACGTACAGCTCCAGTGAGTGAGGGAACAGCTTCAATCATAACCAGTTGTATAGACATCACAAACCCTTTGAAAGCGATTGTATTTTGAGAGAGAGATACTACGTTCCTCTCTTTAATGCTACCAATTAGCAATTGGAAAGCAACGCGACCCCAAGGATGCGAGAGGAATTGATCTAGATCTTTTATCTGCTCAGCCGCTCCGTGAAGAATTCGAGGATTGTGTGATGTGGGGAGGAGGACCGCTGAAAGTAGTACAAGATAGGCGTACTTTAGCCTCAAATCTGGGTCAGTGATTGTCTTCTTTTTTAGCATTGAAATGACATAGGTAGCGGGAACCTCCTTCATGGTACCGAAAAGCTCGTTCCAGAATGGTTTCGCAGATAAGTTCTTGTTGCTCCTCTTCTTCGAGTGTGGTGGGAATGGGTTGCAATTAAGACCAGTCACCAACGCGAATTCTCTCAATGAGAATCTGATAGGTTTACCAGCGAATAGAAACCAGATTTCGTACTTCTTCAGGGTTTTTAATTGTCTGGATATAATAAAACGCCCTAAACGACCTGAAAAATAGGGTTTTTCTTCAATCGACAGTATTTTCCCAAAGGGGGATTGTTTGATGATGGCGATTTCTTCTTCTTCTAAGGCATTGATGATTTTTGAGATGATTTTAGGTTTGTGATATGGGGTGACCCTAATACCAATAGGTTCTTCGCCGATCGCAAACATTCTCTTAGGAAAATCGATCGACGATATTTTTAAGAAAATGTGAGAGGGTGTTAATGTTGGAATGGAAAGAATGGAGATTTTTAATAGTTGAGGAAAGAAACTGATGGGTTTCAATGGCGAAAGTAATAGTTGAGTTTAAATAGACAAAGGAGATGTAAGGGGATTATCACTATCGAATTAGTTTTAGTGAAAAAACAAAATAATAATGCAACTTGACTGACAGAAAACCTTTTGCATGTAATTACGATTGGTTAGGAACGGAGGCTAAAAATATGTGGGGGTAAGGATTAGAAGGTGATCTAGATGTCTAATAGGGGTAGTTTCGTCTAACAACAAGGCGACAATAACTAGAAAATACCCATATGTGTATTATGCTAATTACCGTATTCTTCTTATGTGTATGATGCAATTTCTCTTTAATTTTTCGGTTCTAGGTCCGAATAAATGTGTCCAGCGTTTAATCAACCATAAAATTATAATATTAGGGGTTTAATATAGTTTTGACAAATGCGAAGGTTTAGAGAAGAAAAGAAAAAAAAGGGAAGAGGGGAAAAGAAAACGTAAGGCGCGTTTGGATCTGGCTGGCACAAGGGTAAAATTTACACGTATCGGAGATTTTATCGATCAGGGAGGGAGAGAAAGGAAAAAGAATCTTCCGATCCATAAAACTGCAGCACTCTTCCTCATCAATTTACAAGTCTTGGCTCATCAATTCTAGCTTGATAGTTAGAGGGTCTTTTACGATTGAACTAGTGTTTTGGAGAAAACGTAAATTCGAGTGATGTGGACTAACGTTTTCAGAATTGTAAGTCTTTCCCTCTCCTTTGTATACACATTCGTTCACTTTTCCTGTTCTCTGCTATTAACACTAAATTGGGAGAGACTAGCTAGAGAGGAGGAAGTTTTTGTTTTTCCTTTTGAGAATTTTGATTTTGGTGATAATTTGCTAATACCTAATTGATTTTTACACAGGGAGGTCTACATACTGTTTCCTGGTTTCAGTTTCTTCCTAGTGAAACTGAGCTGAGTCCTGCCTACGATACAAGGTTAACAGCTTTGAGCTTTTTTAATTCGTTCAGTTTTTGGTGGACTTAAAGTGACTAATAAATTCCTATCACTGTGGAGATTTTCAGTTCAAGAGCTGAGCAGAATGATGTTGCAACGTACCTTGTGCTTTCATCTCATCTGCTGTTGCAGAAGGAAGGCTTTCTTAGCACGTGGACCAATTCTTTTGTTGGACCTTGGGATCCATCTCAAGGCTTATACAACCCTGGTAACGCTATATAAATAAATCTTTATTTTGTCATAAGTATGTGATGATCATTTATCGCTGCTGCTCAGATGAAAAGATCAAGCTTTGGCTTTTTCTTCCTGGGCGTCATTCATCAATCACTGATAAAGCTCAGGCTGCTGTCTCTAAACTTAGAGGTATTGTTTTCCTAATGATCCATGGATCTTTCTTTTTTGCCTCAAATATATTTTAAACTTTTTGTCTCTATTTTATCACTGTATATTAATGTATATGCCGCTCTCTATGTTGGTATACATGTCCTTACTTTTTGTTAAAAGTTGTTGCTTCTGGAATCTGGGTATCACCGGGGGACTCTGAAGAGATATCAGTTGCCTTTTCACAGTCTTTACGTAATTGCATTGAAAGGTTAGTATGATCCTCAGGGATGGTCATTGGACTAGGGATATAATGGATTGAAATCTTTCATTTTAAGTTGTTTGATATTACGGCAGAGCATTAATTGGACTTTCCTACATGAGATTTGGAGATGTTTTTTCAAAATTCGGCCCTCAAAGTGAAGAATATCTGAGGTATACATTTAAGCGCCTAGTTAGGTCCTTTAACTTATCCCTCTTAAGCAAATATACTTTTTCCTATGGATTTTCGACCATATAGCTTCTGGTATTCATTAAATATGAGCCTGCCTGAAGTCTATGATTTGCAGTGTGGCTAATGCTCCTCGGATATTTATGCAGGAGGGGACAGCCTACTGTTGAATTCATCTTTGCTGCTACCGAAGAAGCAGTTTTTGTCCATGTCATTGTATCTGCCAAGTACGTAAAGCCTTTTGTCATATATGCTCGAAATTATGTTTTAGTGCTTCTTATACTGATTGTGAAACTAACACTAATTTTAATGCGCGAAGGAATGTTCGGGCACTTTCAAGTGGCGATGCTGAAAGACTGCTAAAGAGTTCCTTGAAAAACTCCAGTTCTAGGCTTCCAGGTTAGTCATTTCTTCCATCATCGGTTGCAATGCTAAAATTTTGCTACTTGTCTACGATAAACCAAAAAAAGTTGATGGAACTAACTAGGTTTGGATGTTCGTTAATCTATTCGTGCTTTGTACTGATATGCTAGTGAATGCGTTGAGAGCATGAGACATTATGAACTCAGTGTTCAAATTTTTGACTCCGAAAGAAGCTAGTGTAGTCTAGTGCCACCTAAGTTCCTCGAGCAGAGATGCAGCATCTCATTTTTTGCATGACACAATAGCTTATTTGTATTGTTGCTCTTTTTAGGGTTGGCCAAGAGGTATTAGATTGTTTAGTTTTAATTCTTTGATGCCAATTTTTTTGAATTGAGACCTGAATGATTCTTGTGCATTCTACACATGCTTTAAGAAAGATAGGAGCTTTTTTATTTGATAGAAACACTTCTCACAAGCTTATGTTATTCCCACCAGTGATTGTTTCTCCTCATGGTATGCGTGGAAGCCTCACTGGATTCTGTCCCAATGACCTTGTCAAGCAGGTCTACTTCAGGTGCAGTTCATACATATGCTGTCCATAGCTGAATCTAATGAGACCAATTTTATCAACTAAGATTAGATTTTGTTTTACGCAGTTCTGGAAACATAGGGACTTCGAGTGGATCTATTGGTCTCCCTTCTCATGTTGGTCGTGGGTCCCGTCTGATAAATGACAATCATTGTTACGTGGAAGTTACACTTGGTTGCTGCCAAAGTATTAATGACAACACAAGTCAAACTAATTCGACCTTTGCAGTAAACTTTCCCCATAGTCAGCGTCCTGAACCATCAGTCGGGAGTAGGGATCACCGGAAAGGACAACCAGATATCTTATCGGCGCGTGAAAAAAAGTTCATATATCCAGCTGAGGCAGTGCTTGTGCCAGTCTTACAGTCGGCATTTGCTAAATTTTCTTTGAAAAGGTAAACTGTCAAGGTGAGAAGGTTATTTAGAGTTTGTTGAGTAGTTAACGGTGAGATCCAAATTGGCTAATTATGGACAATTATATCACTTCTACTGAATTTGTCTACAGTTTATGGGTGTGCATGTATGTAGAAAATCTTTGTAGGGTCGTAATAAGATGTACTACTTGTGTCCTATCTTTACCTTGGAGCTGATGCTTGCAGATTTTGGCTTCAAAACTGGATAGGACCATCACTAGCAGGCTCGTCGTTATTTATGCACTGGTGAGTCTTTTTCTTCTATCTCGTATCCAATCTGAACATCGAAGGGGATTCAAAAATAGAGGTCTGGGATGCAACCCTAACTTATCTAAGAAACCAAATGTTGTGTAAACCCTCATGATTGGTAGCTCCATAGGATTGAGATCTGTGGCATTTGTTAATTTTTGAATATAAAGCTAAGCGATCTTCTTTGCCATTATAAAAGTCCGTTCATGATTACTGAACATTTATACTTTATTTTATGCAGGGCTGGTGATTCTGACTTCCTTGGATCATCTGGAAATAAGAGTGATGGGTCTTATGGAAAAAATGGTTATAATAGCAGCGGCAGTAGCCGTAATAGCAGCATCAGTTCAACAAGTAGTGCTTCTAGCGGGAGTGGTTGGAGAATGACTTCAAGAACTGGTGACCTTGATGCTGATGCAGATTCGTTGACGTGTAGACAATCTGGTCTAACTTGCAATGATGATCACCCAAAATCGGTATGTCTTTTATATGTCGCGAGGGTGGATATTGCATAGTCGTGATAGCCTAAGTAACATAACATTCTTTGCAGGGTTCCAAGCGATCGCGAACAGGGAGGGCAGAATCTTTCGGTCAAGTAGGTACTGTCTCTAATGCACCTTTTTAAGAAGCTTATAAGTCAGGATCTGGTTCTACTAAAACTTATAAACTCCAGGCATTGCAGATGATGAAATTGGATGGGATTGGGGTGGCGACGACAATGATGATAGAGGAGTTGGTATGGATATCAAGGCACTTCTTTCAGAGTTTGGAGACTTTGGTGACTTCTTTGAGAATGATGCGTTGCCTTTTGGGGAGGTAATTCCCGTCTTCTGTTATGTGTTCTTTATGTTGGTGAATGATATTCCGCTTAGTTCAGATATCTTGACTGTCTAATAGACGTTTGCAAGGAGGGTGGTGCCTCGCGTTCCCGTTTCCTGCCATGCCTCTTATTGTGTTTTGTCCTATTGTCTTTGGTGTTCAATCCTTATCTAACAAAGCTCCTTATCTAACAAAGCACCTTATCTATTATGTTCGTGTAGCCACCGGGAACAGCAGAGTCGCATACGCTCATGATTCCTCCAGATTCTGCTGATGTAGGTTCTAGTCCAGTGGATATGATGGATGTACCAGAACAGATTGTTTTGCCCGATGGGTTTTCCTCTTTTGAGAGCTTTAATCCTGTTCCCCCGATCATAGATGAGTGCCTTATCAAAAGTCAAGAAGGCTTCAACAGCAGTTTCACTTCAGCTCCCTTAAATCAAATGTCAAGCTCTTCTACTGGCGAGTTCGATTATTTAATAAAAGCAGAAGCCATGATGACGTTTGCTCCTGAGTATGGAGCTGTTGAAGTACCTATGAGCGAGATTTCCTCTTTCAAAAGTCCATATCTTCCCAAATCTCATAAAGTGGAGAGTTCAAATTCAAGAACGAGTAATTATGTTTATGGACCCACACCACCTGCCACTGAATCTGATGGAGCAGCAGCCGATAAGAATTTACTTGGATCAAAATCATGCATTGGTAACAATGATGGCAGAACTTTGTTTCAGTCGAGAGATTATTACACTCAAGTGGAGGGCAGAAAGGATCAATATAACAAGCTACCTACTGTAATTAGTGACAACAGTAGTACAAAGGAGGGTGTTTCTCAGCTAAAATATTCAAACTACAGTGCTGTTAAGACCGTACAGGGGAAAACGTCTGACGGTATATCTGCTGTTGTTAGCACTTTATTATCTTCAAAGACCTTGTTGGCAACAGACGTGGGAAGCATTATGTTCCAAGCTTTCATGTCTAGGATGCGGCACATAATCATTTCTTCGAAGCACAGTTCACCAGTTAGTCTGACAAGGTTTGGTGGAAACTTATTCCTGAACCAGCTGTCTCACGAGCCCAGTAGTCTGACAGACAACATATCTGCTAGGAACGAGATATATAAGAAAGAAATACCTACTAGAATAGCTAGAGATTTCGACGGAGGAGTGTTAGATAGCCACATGAGTGCACCAGTTGGCGTGTGGCGGACTGTTTCAGTCCCAAAAACAGCAAAACCTGCTAGTTCGCCAAATATTGAAGCTGGCTCATCCTTGCCCCATAGTTCATTTAGCGAAGACAGCTTACTTTCTTATGGCCAAAGGCAGCCATTGCAGGAACTCTTAGATGGAATAGCGCTACTTGTACAGCAAGCTTCTTCTTTTGTTGATTTAGCTTTGGATTCAGATTGTGGAGATGGTCCTTATGGCTGGCTTGCGCTGGAAGAGCTATGGAGACGGGAACTTTCGTGTGGGCCCTCTGCTGGCCATGCAGGGTGTGGGGGTACTTTGGCTTCCTGTCATTCTCTGGACATTGCTGGTGTCAAGCTAGTTGACCCACTCTCTGCTGAGGTAAGCTCTCAATGTCTTTACGTTTTAAATTGTTGTCATTCTCTTTGTGTAAGATGACGGAAATGAGAGTACTCAATGTCTTTACGTTTTAAATTGTTAGTTATGGGCTAGAAATATTTTTTTGTCACAGATTTATCGTATAAAGGTTTGAGCTTATTCATTTGTCTCCTGCTGCTACCTCGTCTTCTCTGTGCGACTGTTGGTTATTTATATGGTACAGAATTATATATTCTGGCAGTATAAACCTGATTATGAAGATTCTTTTCTTTTCCAGGTTTTTCCGTCGTCTGTCATTACTCTACTGCAATCTGACATCAAAACAGCTCTGAAAGATGCATTTGGTCAATCAGATGGCCCATTATCTGTCACAGGTTGGTGCAAGGGCCGAAGTCAATCAATGGATGGAGTATCTATTTCGGAGGGATCTACTCCTGAGTCAGCCCTGCGTGAAGGTAGCACATGAGTTTTGATTATTGGTTGAACTTTATATATCTCGTTAAACTTCACTGTTTCTGTCCATTAGTATGTGATATAGTGAATACGTTTCAATACCTCTGATGATTTTCTTGGCAAACAAGCAATGTCAATAGATGGTGGGAAAGGAGAGGAGGCTGCTCAGAGCCAAGATATATACAATTCAGAATTACTCCGACCTACACTTTTTGTTCTTCCATCACCTTCTATACTTGTCGGGTATTTATGTTTTTATTAGCATTCCGAGTTTTTTCTTTTTAATAGAATTGGGGTTTGATCAAGATCCCCTTAGTATTAGTAATTTCAATTTTGTTAGGATCGTCACATATTAGTGCTTGTTCTTTAAGCTCTCTAGCGTCTATCCCCTGTGACAGGTACCAAGATGACTGGCTTAAGATATCTACTAACGCTTTGTCACATTGGGAAAAGGCCCCTTTCGAGCCATATGCTCTACCGAAAAATGTGCGTTTTCAAGGAATTCGTCTGAGAATGCTTTTGTTTTCTTCAATTTAGGCCAACTGATAATCTTCTCCACTAAGTTGTTCTTTGTTACTTTTTCTCAGATGAACTATACTGTTGTATGCCCGGATATAGATCCCTTAACCAGTGCTGCTGCTGATTTCTTTCAACAACTTGGAACTGGTGAGTCAACGAATATATCTGTTGTGACATTGGTTATACTCAAATTTGACAGGAACTGGTTTCTGCTAATCAACGTTTCTAGAGGAACAAAAATTTAGGACATTTTCTCGTCATTATGTTCTGATGAACCTTTTGTTGCATAGTTTATGAGGCGTGCAGACTGGGAACCCATTTGCCACATATCCAGGGAAATCAATTAAAAACTGACGCTGGAAGTTTATCCTCATATGGGTTTGTTCTGCTTGATTGCCCTCAATCGATGAAGATTGAAAGCAATAACACATCGCTTCTGGGATCTCTCAGCGATTATTTTCTGTCTTTGTCGAATGGGTGGAATGTGACGAGCTATCTGAAGTCTTTATCGAAAGCGCTGAAAGGTCTAAAACTTGAGTCTTGCCTTTACACAAACCAGAAAGAAGGATCAGCT